ATTAAAACATTTCTAGAAATAAAGAGTTTATTTGCAAACAATTTGTTTTGTCTTTTTTTTTTTTTTTTTACGCAAACCCATTCTTAAAATGTTAAGAAATAACGACATTTAAAATATATCATCACGTCTCACCTGAATGAGATCCAAGCACCAATGTCTGATGTTTCTCTGCAGCCAGCTGTTGAAAAATGACACCGCGTATATAACACGCTTTTAGGAAGTGAGGGGGGGAAAGAGTCGGAAGGGAGAAACAAAAAGTCAGGCATGATGATGTGTAGTGAGGGAGGAAGAAACTGCGATGTAAGCATAAACTGTTTGAGATAAGAAAAGCAGATACCTTCTTTACATTTCATCAGAAGTCGTAGTAGCAGTGCTAAAAATAGTAGACCTAGTTGTTTATTTTATCTGTGTCGCAGGGGGCCCAGCTCGAATGGGATTACAAGACACTATAGAAAACAAATTCAAAATCAAACCAAATATTAATACTAGGCTACTATGCGCCTGGGCTATATCTAAACTAAATTAAACATAACTTATCCTCTTCCACAGCTGGAAATCATTTAACACAAACTGAGCTTGGTGAAAGACTTGGCGCAATCCATTCTTATTGAAACATGCTCCAATAGCACCATAAATGGGCAGAAATCTGTCAATTTTAAGCCCCTAATCCTCAAAAAAATTGCACTTTAAAAATATGCCGGCGCTAACACACCCACATAGTTGTCCTGCTCTCTGCAGTTTGCTCTAGTTTTGCGTCTGAATATATAGAAAAGCCGTCTGCACATTTGCTCTTCGCGGTCTCACATCCTGGATCAACATGCAACAAAAGAGGGAGACCACACAGACTGCAACATTATGCAACATATTTTAATTGAATTATTAAATTACAAGGTGTTATGCTTGCGAGAAAGTCAGTTTGTGTGTGAGTGTGTGAGCATGAATGAGTATAGATCTCCAACACAATACAAAACAAACATTTATGTAAATTGTTGTTTTATGTCTGAAACCCTAAACTTGACTTGAGGTCAAGCCAGCCGCTCCTCGCTTTTACCTGGTGAAGAGAGCCGCCCCTAAATTTGAAGTGCTCACGTATTCTGATCTTTATGGTAAATGTTCCGGACTGCAGAGCGAGCAGGAGGAACAGACAGAGACAGCTCCTCAAAATCAAAGTCAGAAAATAAGACTCATTATAGGGATTTATAAGGAACTTTGACAGTGGATTTCTCAAAGAGTACACAGTACTTCATAGTACCTGTGCATGTAGTCTAAGAAGTCATAAGTCCAACCATATCAGAATCATTGTGTACTTATGGAAGAATTTGTTTTTACAAGACATCAAAGTCAGAAAAAAGACTCATTATAGTGCTTTATTATGGACTTTGACAGCGGATTGTAGCATGTAGTCTATGAAGTACTAAGTCCAACCATATCAGAATCATTGTGTACTTATTTAAGAACATATATTTTTATATTTTTTCCCAGGAAAACACCTTATTTTGAAAAACGGAAGTTACCGCAGACTCGCAGTATTATTCTCAAACTATTTTCACCGACCTCCGAAGCTATTCCCTGAACAGTATTTTGTTTGCTCCCGTTTCATACACGTGTATCTCATAGCCAGTTTTGTTGTAAGACTTCGGCATTTATCACTTTTGCCTGGAAAAGTAGATTAATAACGGGGCTAAATCGCTCTCCCGGGCCCTTTCCGAATAGCTACAGTCCAGTATGCAGTACGTACTATTCAGTATGGAGTTTCAATATACTGAAACTCAGTCATTCAGTATGCATTTTGTGGGTCCACCTCAGTATACTGAACATTTCAGTATGGATACTAACTTCCGGGTTTCATGCAGTATGGATCAGATGCGTGCTTTCAGGAAATTAATTGTATTTTACCACCCACAATGCTGTGCGAAATTAAACGTAAATCGTCACGTCACGTCACTTCTCCAAATCAAAACAAACGAGCGTGGATTCATTTAATCAGTTTTTAATCTAGAGTTAAAGTCCCGACTGAAATCACTACTTTTAACTAACAACAGAAAATAAAACAAATGTCTGCATTATTATAAAACCTTTCCCCCTCTATTTAAATAATGATTTCACTATTTAAATGCGTCTTTATTGGTTTATTTTATATTCTGTATATTACTGTCTTTCATTTGTACTTTTCTTTATGTACTGTATGTTATTTAGTTATTTAATCTGTCTTTTACTTGATTTACATTGTGATATTGTTTTTTTGTTTACCTGACTGTATATGTGCATTACTCTTCTTGAATAAAGCTAAACAAAAAAAAAAAAAAAAAAATAGGTGAATGCGGCCGGTTCGGGTAACGTAAATGACGTCACTTCCATACTGAATGAATCAGATGAAGTAGGGACAAATATCTGCCTACTGAATAGTAGGTACTAAACAGTATACAGCACGGATAGTAGGTACTGTCTACTGACAGATTGAGTAGGTACTTGGCAATTCGGATACGGCCCAGCACCTGCTACGTCTCTGTTCTCTTAATTGCATCTATGCATCCTTCACTTGCCTCCTCAACTTGCATCTTAGTCCCTCCCACCAGAGATACATGGAGAGATGCAAGGAAATGAAGCAGAGGAGAGAGGGAACAAGGAAATATGTTTCAAGAGAGTTTAAACGTCCTTTCCACCGAAACGTCACGTAAAGCGACGTCGTTTGTGATGACGACATCAGCTGATCACCGCTCAGCTGTCAGTCGGCTTTGTATTGTAGTTTGTGGCACTGCAATTATTTCTAATAAAATCAACAGTAACCATGTTTAGTCTCTTTATGTGACCTGATTACAAACACCTGCTCATGAAGAACAACCTGCTGTCTGCTTAAGCAAAAGGCTGTTTTTGACTTTGTAAAGCAGAACTTTTGTTACTTTATTAATTCCAACAGTATTTCCTCCTGTTAATGCATTGAAGCTTACTATTGGAGAAAGGGTTTAAAGTCAACAGAATATTTGGCCACTTGGGGACAGCAGAATGCAGGCCATCGCCATCAAAACTTTTTATTTTTTATTTTTTTAACACTGGCAACTCCTTTCAAAATCATTGTTCCAGTTAATTGTTACGTTTATACTCCAGAATGATGCTCATATTTCCTTCAGTGAAATAGTAAGCATTTATCTTTGGCAATGATCATTTTCACAGACTAAAGTGAGGTTTTTTTTGTTGTTGTTTTGTTTTTTACATATTTATTGGATTTCTTACATACCACCATGAGATGTGGCACTGGCATTGGCAAAGCATATATCCACTTTACATGATATCAAGTCTTTACAAAGTATCTCTAAGTGTACAGCTCTACTTTATGAAAGTAGACAGAAACCTATAATCTTTCTCTAACAGTTAGTGGCAAAATCTTATTTTTAACCTCATTTTACTTGGATCATTATGGCTCAGTATTCTAGGTTTCGTCATCATAACCTGCTAATGTTAATTAAATGTTTATGTGACTGTTAACAACCATTTGAAGTGTAAAAATAAAGGGCAAATAAAGGACTAAGTTTGTTGCTTCTTTTGTTGTTCAAACTATTAAATCCATGAAGTGCCATAGTTTAGTGATACTTGTACTAAATGGACGTATGGATGCAATTACCTGTGGACTTTAAAACTATGGCACAATAAACAATAGGCTATACTCTATAATCCAGATTTCAGAGTTTATAGCCGGTTTTTTTGAGATGAGAGAAAGAAAGATGGATGGAGATGAGATATCCTATAATGTCTGAAGAAATAGTCAAATGAATAACAAATACTGAGTCATGCAAAAAAGGAATAATATTTTACTATTGGTTAGTTATTTTTTATTCTGAGAGAAAGAGAGGTTGCAAAGACTATTACTGCCTTCAACTAACATTTAAAGATAGAAGGCAACACTTAAGTGTTAGAATTGGATGGATTGGTTTCTTGTTCAAAAGTGGCATTCAAAACTACTTGATAAACATTGTTTGAATATTGTTTTTATTCATGTGCTGAATAAAGGATATGAGGAGCAGTGCTTGTTTGGAAGGAGATCTCAAACTGCCAAATATGACCTCTACTGTCCAAATGGAGTCATGGCAACTAAATCTGAAGAGAGTCATTTAGTAAATCAACACCACTTTTACTTTTTTTTTGTGCGTGCATTAGATGTCCCAAGTCACAATGCTTCTACCAGACATTCACAAGTTTGGAAACGAGATTTTCACTTAATAATACTGCTGACCTCTTCAAAAATGTTTTGCTCCAACTTCCTGAAAAATGAATCACTCTTCATTGTGTTTCAATTTCCTTCAGCGGTGCAAAAGTCTTCTCGATTTTAGATAATTTAGACTTCATGAGGTTCAGCCTTGAATCATCGAATATTTCAAGTTTTTTTTTTTTTTTTTTTTTTTTTTAAGTTTCCCCATCATTATAGTTACAAAAAAAAACAACTTTCGGTTTAACGTTTTTCAAAGAGTTGGTGGTACATTTTTATTTTTTCATTCCATGTAACTTAAATCCTTAAGAATACGTTTATTTGTCATCAAAAGTTGATAGGGTTTTTACTAACAATGCATTTAGAACCTGCACTTGTAATGGAGTCTCCCAATGAGGTTGAACAGTTTAGCCTGGGATAGTGCAGAGCTAATATTTAAATATAGCCTAGGCCTAGTGGTGAGGGCAATATGCTAATATGGACTTTATCCATTTTATCTTTACCTATAAGCCTGAGGCCTACATGAGTATTTCAGAGGTTAAGAGTTCGGTCAAAACGTATTTGCATTGATTTCTTTAAAATAATCTTTAAAATAATCAGCTAGATAAAAAAAATAAAAATAGTATGGACTAAAAGGTGATTATGAATCACAATTATTTAGGCTGATAGATTTTCTGCATCTCATCATAGACTGTAAATATTGCATCTCATTCATGAAACAGAGCACACGAGAAGACCGCCTTCTCTTCGGAAACTACAATCCCAGAATGCCTTGCAAGCTCTGGCAGCGTTTCTTGTCGACGTGGGAAGGGAGGGATTCGGTACACAAAACAAATGTCCACGGGTTTGATGTCGCGCTACGTAACAGATTATTGTGACATGTCAGTGGGCTTCAATAGGTAACTCCATGACATTTTGAAACATGTGGCTCAAACCTGAAGAGATTCTGCTGAAAAACGCCTTTAAGTTATGGGTTACGGAGAAGGATAACGAGTATTTCGTGCTGCAAAGGAGACGGGGGTACGGAGAAGGTGGAGGCGGTTTGACAGGTAATGTTAACGGGGTTGTTTTCACCTCCTGGCGCGTGTAGCAGAGCTGCTGCCTCTCTAAACACACAATAAAACAACTGAGTAATTAACGGGTTAACTCGTCATACCTTTGCTCAGCTAACGTGCTGTGTGCCACATATATGGGCGGGTACCGCGGTTACAGTCGTCTACGGGAAAATGTTCTCATAGCAACAGGTACGACTGTCAAAATGACGGGGTCAGTTTATGATCAGCTGGTTTTCTAATGCTGACACAGCAGGCTGCAAGAGTGGAGGTCTCTGTGTTCCTGACAATATATTGACTTAACTTGGTTTGTCTCATATTTGTAGATGACACTGAGTGAACATGGATTAAAACATTCTGTAGGTGTTTTGGAGTACCAAACTCTCTGTCTCTCCTGGAGCCAGTTTCTCCCTCAGACTGGGAATCTATCAGAAAACTCTTGAATTTAAAGTCATTGCAATGTCAGGGACTAGTATTGCCTGAACAGTAAACGTGTCAGCTGCTTTATGTTGACACTGATGCTCAGGCGGCTTGTCAGTCACAATGTAATTTATGTTTTGTCAGAGCTTTTCTGCGATGAGATGTTGATTTTAAAGTGAGGAGAACCGCCCCGACCTCTTAGTTTTGATCAGACTATTTTAGTAGGCTACCAATCAGTGTAAAACATTACCAACAGAAAGTCAAATTAACACATTTTAATCATTAGAGACGGATAGGTGAGCATCCAGCCACTTAAGAAAAAGAAAACAAGTTAATGTTTTGCATGTTACTTTAAAAAAATAAAAGCTTAACCTGTTTTTGTGCTATGTAAACATGTCATGTGTAGCCTATGTGTGTGAGTGTTTGATCACACTATGTTATTATGGAATGTTTTCATCCATGCAACATTTCCTGATATCATAAAGTCTGCCACAGTCCAATTTTGTGACAAAATCAATTAAAGGTCACATGTTATCCTCCACTTTAAATAAGTATCAAAGCTTGCAAAAATATTTGTCTGTGAAGTTTCTTTATGAAAATCCACTCTGATCATGTATTTCATCGTGCTTTTAAACCCCTCTACTTAGCCCTGCTCAGAACACACTGTTTCTGTGTCTGTAGCTTTAAAGGTGAGATGTTCGACCATGCCCCCCCTGGAAGGGCTTGGGGTGATTTGGGCTTTCTCGCTCCATGTCCTATTGTTTACGGTGAGAAGGCAGACTCAGAGGGCAGAACAAACACCTAGCTGTGGGAGCGTCACCCACCTGGGGGAGGGGTTACTGCCCTTTGTGATGTCATGATGGTAAAATCTCTAAACAGCCTGTTTGAGCACACATTTCCCTAAAAGTGGAGCAGGCGTAAGACAGAGAGGATAGACTTTACTAATAATTAGGGGGGTTTGTAGACAGACTAGGGACACATATTAGTATTAGAAAAACATGGTAAAATGTATTTTGCACCTTTAAATATTATTATATTGGTGAGATAATATCATAGTACAATTTAATAAAACCAGTTTATTTATCTCAGAAAAAAGCAAATATAAGAGAGTGTTTAATGATAATCCCTCTCCAAGTGAAATAATTTCAATTAGATGTGCTAAGATGTCTTTATTTTTTTACTTTAATTTAATCATCCATCTTCGATTTTTGTAACACTAACATATTTTGAGCACAAAAAAACCCCCTGAGAGTAAATAAACTTAAACAAATGAGTACCTTCAGTTCTAAGTAAGGAGTGTTGCATGTTCAAACAAATAGCTTAACGGGCTTTCTAACAAAGCACTAATGTGTGATCTCTTAACAATAGCAGCGCTTCTAATGATGCAACTTGTGCGCCCTCAGGTTCTCACATCTTACTAATCCCACAGCAAGTTAATGATTCAGACACACAACCTGAAATGTGAAACTAATAACTGCATCATGTTCTTTGCTATTGTAGTCAATATTGAAAAAACACCTGGCAGTATAGAAGTAATACATAATAGCACTTGTGATGTACATTTTCTAATCACAGTCCAAATGTGACAGCAGTAAGGTAACTAACTGATAATTAATGATAATGACTGGTGGTCTAGCTGAAGACAAAAGGCCTGAAGACCTGTGTGGTTCATCTAATGACAGTGGAGGTTAAATACGACCTGATTGTTACATCCAGCATGCTGCACTTGAAACCCTCTCCAGCTGAAGAGCCTTTTATGTCTGGTATCTTTTTATGTGTTTAAGTCCATCCTCTCCTGTGGGCCGTTGTTCTGCTCTGATGAGAACATAATTTATCCGAACTGTGTTTGATCCTTTGAATCCTACACTACTTGGCAGCTCAGTGTTACAACATGTGGGAGCTGATCCACAGTCAGAAGGCAGGCCGGTGCAATGCTGATGATGCAGTGCATGAATGTGGTTTCCATACGACCTTGTTAATTATTCATGGAGGGCTTGTCACTGAGAAGTGGTTAAGGTAACAGATTTGGCTAATTTTAGCTGTATGGCTCAGAAGTGGACCAGTGTCTTGTCTTTTAATACACAGACTAACACACGACACTTCAGAGGTAAATATCTCTGTGGTCAGTTTAGAAGCTTAGCTTGATGAAGCTTAATTTTAAAAGATTTTGAACAAAAAAATGACTTTGTTATAAGAGCCGTAGGTTAATTTAAACAATTGTTATTTATTTCAATAGAATTAACAAGCAATAAAAAACCAGCCCACACATGAGGGGGAAACAATTGATGGTTCTCAATGGACTTTGTGGATGAAGGTGCCTACTGTCACTTTTGTCTTGAAAACGTACAAATAAAAAGCTTTTCAATGATGGGTAAATAACCCACAACCAAGCTTTTATTAACAACAGAGGAGAAAAACAGCTTTTAAGAGCGCAGGCATAGAAGCGGACAATAAGATGTAAGACAATGACAGGAAGAAAAGCAAAACTGTGGGGGATCCTGTCACTGAAATTTGTTGGACAAACGGTTGGTTATAGTTGACGCTACACTCGGCAGCAGAATAGCACTTGTTTTGATCAGTTTTATATCAAGTAGTTGTAAAAACTAAAAGCACAATTTTATTATGAGCTTTTAGTGGGATCGTTTATGTAAAAGACTTACAATGTAACGTTTGGCAGACCTCTTCATCTCTGCTACATTTAAGGCATTAAGTACACCTTTGACATGCTGCTGATGTGTTGTATTTTGGTGTAAAATGTAAAATTTGGGTCTTAACAGCACAATGAAGTACTGTAGTGATGCAGAGGCATACAACAATTCTTCTCCAGATTAAAGACAGCATGTTTGTTTGGGGCTGACCCCAACAAATGTGACGTTGTCAGATTTCAATCAGATGTCAATCATTCTTTATCTCCAAGTAATTGCAGTATTGTTTTGTGAAACCATAGTGCATATTATGAATGGAATGGATATTTTTCTTTCTTTCATGTGTGATAATATTACCTGAAATTTGAATGCATCTTTTGTTGTAGGGCTCCTTGTGGAACACTTGATACTATGTTGGACTCAACATCCAAAGTGGCTCCTTTCCGGATTTTGCATCACACACCAGACTCGCAGGTGTACTGGTCGATAGCATGTGGTACGCCAACGTCTTTTGTATCATCATTCTCAAAGACAAATCAAAAGTGATATAGGTAGAAGATGTTGCAAATAAGTAATTTGTTAAAAGATTCACTGTTTTTGTACTAAAGTCCTGCAAAATTACTTTTAGAATCAAATATTCTTAATCCAAGTTTATGATAAATATTATAGAGTGAAATAGTTAAAAAAAAAAAAAAAAAAGTATTTTTTATAGGTCAAAGAAAGTACTGGCAAGTTATCTGACATACAACATGTTTTCACCCTTGATGTTGGTTCAGGTGTCACCAATGAGGAAATAGTTCAGCACTGGGATTGGCTGCAGCAGAACATCATGAGGACTCTCTCCGTTTTTGACTCCAGTGAAGACATCACCAGCTTTGTACAGGGCAAGATTAGAGTAAGACTTTACAGGGACTCAGAGATCCCACAAAGCTAATATGCTAACAAGATAATCTCTCAGCAGGGATGTAATTGTAACGCTAAATGTGATAATGAACTCTTAATTCTTGTACATCTTTACTTTCTGACTGTCAATGACTTACTAGTATTTGGTGTGAGTAAGAGTGGGTCAAGAACAGGAACTCTCTTATTACTGTCTTTTTACCATCTTTGATTCAAAGATGTTGAACAGCTTCAGGATGATGATCCATAATGACATGTGATGTTTAATGTGTTAGGGTCTTATTGCTGAGGAAGGGAAGTTGTCCATGGTGCTGGAGGATGATCCCGAGAAGTTCAGAGAAGCATTTTTGAGGTTCGAGAAGTGGTTTGAGCTTCCGCCCAAGGAAAAGCTGGTCACATATTACTCATGCAGCTACTGGAGAGGCAAAGTGCCGTGCCAGGGCTGGCTCTACCTCAGCACTAACTTCCTGTGCTTCTATTCATACTTGCTGGGATCTGAGGGTGAGACATTTCTGTTCCTTTTTATTGACATGAGCGGACATTTTTACTTATTAAGTGGATTTGTGACAACAAAAACCAGTGGCAGCTCCTGAAGTGGGGCTTTAATGGAAAACATTTTCACTACAAAAAATGACAGTTTAGATAATGGTAAAAAAGCCATTACAGTGGAGCCAACACGGGAGGCAGTCTTGCAAGGTAGTGTGGATAATGGATAACACTGAATCTCCTGAAAGAGTGACATTTTAAGAAAGTATTGTGTTGCTATAAAGTTTTTCAGTTTATTAAACATTTGAAATATGTAGAACTTTTCATAGATTTAAGAGGACTTTATTCTGAAAAAACTGGAAGTGCATGATTATAACTTTTTAACATTATTTAGGATCCTATTTTTTGATTTAATTTTTTACGTGTTGCTATGACTCTGCAGTGAAACTGGTAATTTCCTGGGATGACATCTGGAAGCTGGAGAAAACCTCTAATGTTATCCTGACTGAGAGCATCCATGTCTTGGCTCATGGGGAGGATCACTACTTCTCCATGCTGCTGCACCTGAATGAAACATTTGTCATCATGGAACAGCTGGCCGACTACTCCATCAAGCGCCTTTTCGATAAAGAGGCCTTCCAGAGAGAGCCGGCGCTCTCAGATCCTCTGCAAATTACCAAGAGGTAATGTCTGTCTGATGCTGTTAGCGCAGGCTGACAGCTTGAAGAACCAAAGAAAACATCAAGTGTGACTTAAGTCAAACTGCATTTGTGTTTGTTTTAATTTGTTTGAAGTGGCAGGGCAGGTCAGACGTACAAAAAAAACAGTGACAGGTATTTTAAAAGCAACTTAGTGTAGTCTTTCACTTTGAACACTTTAGCAACACATTCCAACTTTAGTTTGATGTATCTGACAAAATCAGGCTATTCATTTAAATTCGTATTGCTGTAATTGAAGGATAAAGTATCACACAAGGGCAATTAAGAAGCTGACATTTATCCAAATAATGTATCCCACCACAATTTGGTTTTCAGTTTACAGGAGGTATTTGTTTCGATCTAACATACTAGAAGGTAAAGAAATAGCCCCTTAATAGACGGGTATGGAAAGTGACATCCAGCCATGTCAGGAGAGCTGTCTGCTGTGCATGTGAGTCTGGAGTTCTGATTTAGGGATGTTCTTGGAAAGCTTCAACATGATTTTTTACTCTCTGCTTTCCTTTTTTACTTCATCAACAGAGGCCTCGAAGCTCATGCAAAGAGTGAGCAGTTCCGGACATTTTTCAGGCTCCCCAAAGAGGAAAATCTGTTGGAGGTTCATGAGAGCTTTCTGTGGGTTCCCTTTAGTCATTTCAACACGCTTGGCAAGATCTGTCTTTCCGAGAACTACCTGTGTTTTGCAAGCCAAGATGGCAGCCAGTGCCATATCATTATTCCAATGCGAGAGGTAAAAATGGAACAAATGTGGTATAAAAGTACTTTCAATAAAGTCATGTTTCAAAACGCGCCATGCATGCTGATGAACAGCGGACATCTTTAAAAATGGTCTGTCTTGTCTTCAAATTTCACCTCCTCCCAGGTGGTAAATGTTGAGAAGCCAGACACCAGCAGCAGGGCTTTGACAGTGTGTGTGCGTGGAAAGAGGGCGCTACGTTTCTCTGAGGTACGGGAATATCAGCGGCTTGCCAACACAATCCGCAGCAGATGTGGCATCAGTCCAAGTCCTCAACACTCTGCTTCAACAGAGGTAATGTTTTTAACCTGTTTTATTTGTATGATCCACGTTTTATTCTGTACGGCAGTGAGACATGTATTTCCCAATATCTCCAAAGGCTATAAGGGGTGAGTGCCAGTCACTCATCAACCACTTTGAGGACAACCCAGAGGACGTCACACTGATGGTGGGACAGAAAGACAGCAGCAAGGCTGTGAGCACAGAGGCTCTCATGACTGTTTTCCACCCACAGGACGTTGAAAACCTTGACCCCAAGATGGTAAATAACATCATTGTCATTCAAATGGAAGAAAAACACCACAATAAACAAAAAAAAATCTAAATGGATTACCTCAATGTAATGCAGCAGAACCTTCCCATGCTTTGCTGTACGGAGGTGTGTGCGAGTAGGTGTGTTAGCAGTTCAGGGGTGAACTTGAATAAAAATGTAGCATGAATCTGTTAATACCAGCAATGCAGAATGGTCTGTCTGTGTGTTTGACAGCTGAAAGAAAAGATGAAGGAACAGTCTTGGAACATACACTTCTCTGAATACGGACGTGGCACGAGTATGTTCTTCACCAGGAAGACACGAGACTTGATCGTCCGTGGTGTTCCTGAGGCCTTGCGAGGAGAGCTGTGGATGCTGTTTTCAGGTATCTTAAGCAGCAGACGTCACTCTGCTGTCAGTTATCTGCAGTATCTGCCATTTTTCTACACCACCCTGCATGATTGAATGTGTTAAGTACTCAAACACTTGTTCCACATTAATAATTAAGCACGACATGGTTGGTGTAGGATCTCAGCAGCATGATTTGGACTGCCTGTGGTTCTGCCTCTGTAGGAGCTGTGAACGACATGGCCACTCACCCCGGCCACTACAGTGAGCTGGTTGAACAGTCCCTGGGCACAAGCACTTTGGCTACAGATGAGATCGAGAGAGACTTACATCGCTCACTTCCAGAGCACCCCGCCTTTCAGAGCGACACAGGAATCTCAGCTTTGAGAAGAGTCCTCACAGCCTATGCATACAGGAACCCAAAAATTGGATATTGCCAGGTACTTTGATTTCTTAAGGTTTCTTAACAGTTAGAAAAGCCATGTTTTAACATACATACTCACCTAGTCTCAGGGACTTAAGGTCAAATGCAGCTGCTGTCATCTGTGTGTATCTATCAGAAAAAAATGTTAATGTTAAAAATGAAAAAGAGGCGTGCTGGTGGTTGAGGCTGTCGTCTCGAGCGGGAGGCCCGGGTTCGCTTCCACCCATGGCCTCTTTCCGCATGTCATTCCCCACTCTCTCTCCCTGGTTTCCGACTCTATCCACTGTCCTATGTCTGCATTAAAGGCACAAAAAAGCCCAAAAATAAATCTTAAAAAAAAGAAAATATGCATTTAAAAACATTACTAACATAAAGTGTCCAGCCGATATTCTACCATGTTCTTTTCCATGTTTCATAATTTCTTGTGAAAGTAAGTATCTAAGACCAACTTCTGTTTTTGCTATTTTCACAATCACAGTTGAGGTCATGGTTATTTCAGAGACTAAAGTAAAAAAAAAAGGCCACACAAGAGTTTTAAACCCCAGTCTCTTGTACTAAGAGTTTTTTTTTATGACATATAAAGACCACAGAGGATTTTTAAAGGGCTCAGTGTTTATAAAATAAAAAGGTCTGCAGCTAAATTAAGGCCACAAGAGATCTAGAGCCAGTGAAAACATTTTTTATTAAGGCTGTTAGGCTCTTAAAAATGTACCTTGTTAACACTCACACCTTTAAACAGGCCACCTCTCTGAAGTTAACCTTTCGCTTACAACTGAAGTGTCTCTTTTTTCACTTCACAGAAAGTGACTTTTCACAGAAACTAATGGTTTCCTCTTTTTTTTCAGGCCATGAACATTCTCACCTCAGTGCTCCTGCTCTACGCTAAAGAAGAGGAGGCTTTCTGGCTCCTAGTGGCCGTCTGTGAGAGGATGCTGCCGGATTACTTTAACCGGAGAATTATTGGTGAGAGTGGAAGCAGAAGGTTATACTGTTTTTGCTGGTCAATTTGAAACCTCAAATTTGAATGATTTCTTTTATGAAGTTGCTCTCAAATATGTTGCTGCTCATGTTCGACAGGCGCTTTGGTTGACCAGGCCGTGTTTGAGGATCTGATCCGGGAAAACCTCCCTCAGCTGGTGGAGCACATGACAGACCTGAGCTTCTTCTCGTCCGTGTCCTTGTCCTGGTTCCTCACTCTCTTCATCAGTGTCCTACCCATAGAGAGTGCCGTGAATGTGGTCGACTGTTTCTTCTACGACGGGATAAAAGCTATTCTGCAACTCGGCCTGGCTGTGCTGGACTACAACATGGAGTCTTTGATCACCTGCCACGATGACGCAGAGGCTGTCACCATCCTGAACAAGTCTGTGACCACAAACAAAGCAGGCCTGATGTGTTTTAGACATTATTAAAGTATATTTGACTGTATCTCTTTCTTTTTGCTTTCAGATTCTTTGACAGTGTGACAAACAAAGACAGTCCACTGCCTCCAACAGTGCAGCAAGCTCCTGTGGGCAACAATAATAAAGCATCCCATTTAAATGTGGACATCAGCGAACTGATCCGAGAGGCCTATGAGGTACAACAATATTCCTCTGGGTTACTTTTGTGTTGATTTAAACTGATTATTGAACTGAGAACTTTGCTCTTTGTTTTTTTTTTTTTTTTTTAGAAATACGGAAACATCCGGACAGAGGAAGTCGAAAGTTCCCGTAAAAGAAACAAGCTCCATGTGATCCAGACTCTGGAGGATACAACCAAACAAAATGTTGTAAGTAGCCATTGTGGTTACTGTAGTTGGTGTAATTGTGTTGTTTTGATGGTATAAAGGATGAATTTTATTCTGTTTTCAGATTCGAGTGGTGTCCCAAGAAGTAGGATTCAGTGCTCCACAGCTTGACAGGCTTTATAACCTGTTCAAAGTGAGTCAAAGGCACGATACAGAAAGTTAACAATGCCATCGTACCAAATGCTAACGCTACTAATAAAATGAGAATTTGTCAAATCATGTTTTATGTTGTTTCCTATCTTCAGAGGCAACATTTCCTTAGCTGCTACTGGACAATGAAGAGTCAGGCTTTGCTCCATCACGACCCCAGCCTGGCTTATTTAGAGCAGTACCAGCTGGGTTTTCAACAGTTCAGCACGCTCTTCTCCCTGCTTGAGCCCTGGGCTTTCTGCAGCAACAATAGCACCCTCTCACTGTGGAGCTTCCGTCTGATAGACGAGAATCAGGACGGCCTTATCAACTTTAAAGAGTTCTGCTGTGCTCTTGGTATGTTTACTCGTTTTCTGCTCTCGAGCAATGCAGCCGCTAAGCGGAGTGTCCTTTCTGCTCAACTTCAAACTGAATTAAAACATTTTTGGGTCATGATTTAAAAAAAAGAATAAGAGTCAAATGCATTTGTGTAAACTGCTTCTCCTGTAGATACTTTGTACAGTGGATCTTTCACAAACAAGCTGAAATTTCTCTTCAAGCTTCACCTGCCACCAGGTGAGTCACAAACAACCCATAAAGCATTCAGGATCTGATCTTAAAGACACACTTTCCTTTTTTGAATTATTGAATGATGAAATGTGACCTCTTTCTCTTAACGCATTGTTTTGTCTGTTTCTTGTTAGCAAGAAAAAAGAAATCAATGTTAGTGTATCTACCCTTTTCTCTCACAACATGACGACACTTATGATCCTACATACTCCTGCATGTTCAACATTCAAGTGCAGCCAATGTTTTAAAGCTGCAGTCTTAACCGTTTCTGAATTCTACCTTATACCGTCACATGACTTCAACAACAACAAAAACTGCAGCGGACATACATACGCTGACAGAGACATGAGGTCAGATAGAAATACATCACAGCCTGTGAATGTTTGAGTTGTCATTTTAATATTCCAATCCCTAACACAGTATTTGTCGACGGAGCACTTTGCCTGGGGACTAAGCTGTCCTTGAATATGTTTCTCTTGTCTGTGTGACGTGTCGGTGCGTGCTGAGTAGCTGGGGTAAGAATAGTTCATGTAGTCTATGTTGGGTGAATGAACTTTACCATGGCAACAAGGGGTGTTAGGAGATGTGAGGGCATTTTGCAGTGAGCTAGTGCACAGAGAGGATCTGTGATGAGGAAGAACTGCTCTGATTACCTCCGACATATAACCATCAGAAGAGCACTGAGTCACAGTTTGTGATTGGCTCTGCAAGTGAACATCAAGCAGCAAAGCTTGTTTAATGCATCACGGAGAGCGCTTCAGGTCCATAGAAGGGCCACATTCCACAGGCCAAACAAAATTGTTAAGACCCACATTCAGACTATGGTCATTGGTCCAATAGTTTAACTGCTCAGAAAGGTTTGAAACCTAATTAGACCATCCAAAAGAAGAGGCTGCTCTGATAAGAGCTGGTTACTATCCATAAACCCAAATGACCCACATTTCACAGCTAATAAAACAAAAGATTTTTAATTGAACAATTATTTTCCTTTTTAAACCTGATAAACAAAAATCTAAAGGAAATGATGAGTCCATGTATTGAATTTAAAAAGTACACTTTTTTTTGCTTAAATATACCGTGGATGTTACAATACATACATTTTTTTGTATATGTAAAAAAAAAAAAAAAAAGAGAGACCATTCTTACTTTGGACACAGAAAATGTTGCAGACCCACATCAGTAATATCTGCTGTCAGTTTATTGTGCAGTCAGATTCCCTTAGCAACACACTGGTCTTTAGGTTCTTATATGTCTCCTTAAAATCTGTTCCTGATCTTCTTATGCTGTTGTTCATCACAGTCAATGAGAGTCTTATTACATTATTATATAATGTATGAATGTAATTTCACTCTTTGGCTTCAGCCCAGATGTTCTTTCCAGTCCTCTGTTAAACTCACTGTCATCTGTGCACCCACTAGAATGGTAATGTGCTCCAAGCACTGTTTGATAAGAGGCACAGCACTTTTGTAATTGCATTTTACTTTGACAGTGACATTCCTATTAACATTCTAACATAGGGTGGATGATTCCACAAACAGCTTATTGAAGTCAACCTTTCTTTGTTTGCTGTTTTTGTACAATAGTTTTTTCTCTTGTAAAAGTGTAATTCTACACTTTTGTTTTCAGCATTGACCTCCATCACAAAAACTACAACAATCAAATGTTTCTCTTTTGTTTCTTTTTTTAATGACGCACTGTCATCACTGTCTCAACCCATACTATCGTTGTGTTTTTACCCTTAAGGAGAGCTGTGGGCTTTTGGAAAGTGTGCAGAGTAAGATGAAAAATAAACCACTGAGACCTCAAACTTGGCAATTTCACAGTGGGACAGCCCTGAGCCCTCGTAGATTTAGAGTGAGCCCACATCAAAGTCTGACCATGGAATTGGGCCAATCGCTCGATTGATTAAGGCACTAAAGTCATGGGCTACTTTGAGCTGAGAGTCTGCAGGTTCTCGTGCCAAACACACAAAACGACAGCTGCTGTCACATATCAGCAGAAAGGCGATGCTACACAGGGGCATCATCTGCATAGAGATTTATTTTAGTGAAAACAAAATGTGCAATGTATCTTTAACTGATATCTTCAGCTCCACTACGGCCTGAAGTGATCTGTATACTGCACAGTTTGAAAACAGATGAAAAATACGAGTGAGGCCTTGTTTCTATTGTGAGAAAATAACAGATAGAAGCAAATAGAGTGTTGTTTCGGATTTTCATTCATAGCCATTTTTTAAATGTATTTCTGCTGCTCTATCTGAAACATTTGTGTTTTTTGACAACATCAAGCCGAGTGAATCTTTGATTACAAACACTGCAACTAAATGGTTTCTCCCCTGTGTGGACAACTGAGTGTCATGTAAGATAAACACGTTGAGCTGGTTATCTGTTATAGAAGTTGGTTAGCAATATTAACAGTTGTACATGTGTTGAAGATGATAGTCCACTGCAGTACCCTTCATCCTGTGTCTGAGTTGAGAAGTGTTTTCACAGGGGATCATATCTTTTTAACAAAGACAGTTATTTGAGTTATGCTTGCAGCAGAAATGATCAAACACTGACAAATATCTTCTACCAGGATAGTGTTAAAAGATCTGCTTATTAGACTTTAAATAGGTTTAGATTTTATGATGAAATTTGAAGTGTTTCAATTAAGGACATGTCCCTTATGTTCCTGAATGTCAGCAACTAATTTTGTGGCACAGACTAGCTAAATGACAAAACAACATGGCCATCGTCAGGTTGAGCTGCTAATGTAGCACGAAGCGATTGGGCAGATATAATGACACTCCTGGCTCGTGAGGGTAATTGTTTAATCCTGCAGCAACTTCCACACATGCATGCACACGCTCAGACGCACACACCCATACACAGTGTTCATTGATGGTGGTTGGAGGAAATCACTATAGCACATCTCACACAGGCCAGAGGCATTACAAGTAGAATCTGTTAATTTACTATTCAAATGATTCAGTTAACACAGAGGGACGTCTATGTAAATGTCATACTGGATGTTCTTATTCTGTACGAGTTATCAGTTTATAACTCACACATAATATAGAATAAACTATAAGAAATACATTTAAATGAAAGACAGTCCAATACACAAACACTATTGTGTACGGATTTGAATCTTTGACAAAAAAAATGAAATTCTCCAAAAAGCTTTACATTTATAAAATACTTAAATGGGATTGTATTTTATTGTATGAAGTAAACTGATAACTCAATTTAAATTGACCATCTGTCAAATTCCTCTCTGCTGTTTATGTGGTCTCTTCATCTTTCCTCTGAGTGCACTCACAGTCAGTCTCTTGTAGCTTTCACAGGAAGTCCTTTGCACCTAAAGGAACAAAAAATCCAGTACTTTATCCCAGTGACTGAAGACTCTTCTCACTTGGGTAACCTCACTGGTTAGCCTCTTTACTCTTTCTTCTCCTTTTGACCTGTTATTCTCTTGTAATTCTTGCTGCATGCTTGATTCCCTTGAAGTCATTGACTGTTACTGAAACACTTCTCTTGATAGTTTTTTCAAATTTTGGTTTTTACATTTCAGCATTTGATCTTCCTGAAGATGGTGTCATTAGGAAAAGCCCTGAAAGAGGTACTTTCTCACTTGTATTCAATATAAACACATCATCAGGGTAAAACCAAAAATGTTTTAAAGATAGTGAAGAGTTTGTGTTTTAAATTGACAGGTAGAGGGAAAGTGGACCTTCAGGCCTACCTGAAACAATGGCAAAATGAAATACTTAAGAAAGAGGAAACCATTAAGGATCTACCCAGAATAAATCAGGTAATCCTGTCCATGTTGCCTTTATTGACTGTTTCCTTATTTTTAAGTGAATAAAAGCCTATGTGATATGAAAACCTACTGTATTGACGTTGTTGTTTCCATTGCAGACCCAGTTCATCCAGTTCTCCAAAACCCTGTACAACATATTTCATGGTGATGCAGAGGAGGAGTGTCTGTACCGAGCCGTGGCACATGTGACCAGCCTCCTCCTGAGGATGGAGGAGGTCGGACGGAGGCTGCAGGAGCCGAGCAGCCCACCTGAGTCCACAAAGCCTGCCAACGCTACCGCATCCTCTGCAGAGGAGGAGTCTCCAACTGAAGACGCTTCCAACACGCCCGAGGGCTCTGACATCTCGCGCATTAGCCAGGATGCCGGGCCTGACCTCACAGAGATTGAGTGGTCGTTCTCATTCGAGCAGGTCCTGGCTTCGCTGCTCAATGAGCCGGCCATTGTCAGCTTCTTTGAAAGGCCCGTGGATGTTCAGACTAAACTGGAACAGGCTAAGGTTTCTCAGCTGAAGCTAAAGGCAGACAAGTAAAAATAAAAATAAAAGATACATGGTAGAGTTAATTCTATGCTTCTGATTTATACCCAGAAGACACCATGAATTTCCTTTCTCTGCTTGGATGGTGCAGCAGGTTCTTGGCGAGAGATAGGAAGACGGTAGGAGTACTGTTGAAGTGGAGGAGAGCTCAGATTCAAAATCTGTGGTGCAACGTGAGTGTGTGTGTGTGAGTGAGCGAGGGGCTTTTGCGTTCAAGCAGATGATGATGATCAGCAGAGATGACTGACTAAAAATATTATATCTTAAGACAATGTCAACACTATTGTAACAAGTCACTGACTTTGAGTGTGTTTGAACTTTGACCCACATTGCAGACCCATTAGAGTTTTTCCTCAAATCTGATAATGCTGTTTCAACTTTTTCGTTCTCTAAAGTAAGCTCAGTTGAACCTAAATTACCCACTTCTTCATGCTATGAAGCATATACTGTACATTATAGTTTTGGAAGGGACATTGAGTTCTGCCCGATGTATTCAGGAATAGAAGGGTTTGTCCTTTCTGCCGTCTCTGATGTCATAGTGAGGTACAGATTCACAACTAGATAACCTTAGACAAGGTTATTATACAGAGTCTAAAGGTGACATTCTGGATATCTTGATGTATTTTCTCTGTCAGATAACTAGTCACCGCTGTTAGGAAACAAATCTGTAAGTGCTTGTGTGTCCCATGACTTTAGTGTATGCTGTTAAGGGCAACATCAGTGTCATTCTGTAAACTTATTGTGAAAAACATCAGTTTTAGAAGTGATAACAGGCACAGAATCAACAGCACTTCAGCAGTATCGTCCCTCGAAGCCATGCATTGATTTGAGACGGTTGTCAGATTAAGTGCATCGAGAGCTGCAGGATTCAATTATGGCATTTATACATTTGCAATAATGGCTGAGAGGACGCTGTACTGCCACAGCATATTCATCTGTCTGTCTGACAAATACCAGTATTTGACCATCATAGTACCAGTAGTTTGAACTTCATATTGCTGCCGTAGGGAAATCTCTGGCGTCTGCCTCTGACAACGTTCTGTGTGTGACCTGCACAGTGTGGGTGATGTACTGTTTGCTTAAGTCCATCTTAATCTATGTGTAGGATATTATGCTCTAGTATAAGTGAAGAATCTTGTACGTATACATATGTTCAATAGTCGTTTGATTACTGTATCTATGAGGCTTTAAATGTAATATACAAGCTAGTAGACTGTTGTGGACACAACTTCAACATTCAGAAGGACATTTTTTTTGATCAAAACTCAGGGTGCAATCTGTGTAAATAAAAGGGAGAAAAGGGATATTTTTTTGACATTGGACATATAAAGTTTATGACTGCGTAATATAAAGCTTACAAATGTCTGTAACATCAAAATATAAAGCATGTGTGTAGCATAGTAAAGGTTTTATCACATGATGCTAGTCTTCAATGAATGCAACTTTAACTGCTCGGAAAAGCCAGACTTGACTTTACAGCACTTCAGTTGATTTCTTTTCATCTGTGCTTTTGCTGCTCTTCTCTCTCGTTGCCTGTTCCTGCAGTGAATCTTTGGCACAGTGGTTTGAGATTCACACGTTATAGATATGCCTGTATCTAGGCCACATCTCGAAGGCTTCAGGAATAATAAAAAAAAAAAAGGTCATGACTGCTTCAGCTGCAGCTTGTCGACTCTAGGGGCCAAAATTCCCAGATTTATAGAGCTTTACATTTACCTGTGTCAAGAACAAGTATATAAGAAGCTCTTAAAATGCAAGTGCAATTGTTTCTTTTCTGTATCTTATTATTTTTCAGTTTGCTTGAAATGTTTTTGCTGTTATTTTGTGTAATGCAAATTTGTATAAGGCCATCTGAAATGTATTTCATTGTGCAATTATTGGGTTGATTAATATAGATCGTTATATTTAGTTGAACAAAAGTCATTGAAAATGAGCGTTATGCAAATACTGATTATTCATTATCACTGAAATGATACATGTATCACTGTTTACATGACTGGTGTAAAAAAAAAAAAAAAAAAAAAAAAGGTATGTACCGTACACTCAATTAATCTTCCCTCATTAAATCAAAATCTTGATGAGTAAGTTCAGTCAAGCACCTTAAAGAAAGTTTCCACTATGTTTCTGTTGTATAACAAGAATTTATACTCTCTGAACATGGTCTGACTATTTTAGTACAACTGTTCCCTGGCAGTCTCATGCTGCTTTTACAACAGTTATCCCAATTTACACACAATCCTACGTTCTGTAGCTCTTCAGTTTTCATGTCTGTTTATTTGCATCCTCTGACAATATTGCACAGAGGGTAAGAAACCATTTTGAAGAAAGGGAAAGTTCAGTTTCAAAAATGAACTTGTTGGTCTGTCTGTGAGAAAGGCAGAAAGGCATTTGAGACCAAATGGTCCGTCAGTAATTCTCCTCACTGTATTTACTTGAATAACTTTTAGAAAATGGCACTTGAGATTTTCTATAGCCCGAAATAAGGTTGTTGTCTCCTCTTTGTGGGGAAATAAATCAAACAAGACTTCCATGTAGATATATTCAGAAAAATATCAGCGGCTCTGAAATCCTCCTGCTGGAATATTTAATTGAGTGTATACAAAGAGTGTACACATGGATAATGCTTAAGCCACTTCTTTATTTGTGTGCTAAAAACAGTTATTTTATGTGCAAATGTAGTCCACAGCTTTAAGAGTCTGTTGTTTAAATTAAAGGCTTGTTTTGTAAAATATGTGGAGCACAGGTATTTCTGTTGAACTGCTGGATTATGATTTTTTTTCCCCCCCTGGCTAAGATACCCAAATAAAGAGAAATGATTCCATCAGTAAGAAGGTTTGGCTCATTTTAAAGCACTGATTTTAAACACAGATATAAATTAAAATGTGACTCATAGAATGTGTTGTAGCTGTGTTATTGTAACCCACTGAGATACCACCCTGTTTTTTGCTGTGTTGTGTGTAATTGCAGGGCCATCTCTAGCTATCTGTAGCCGGGGTCTATGTGGTGATCACTTTGTCACAGTGATTTAAGATTGCTGGTTCTGGCATCAGCATGGCCTACAGTCTCTGCCTCCTTCAGGGCCCCAGGTGAAGGGTCTTTGTAATATAGCAATGAGAATGGTCTTTTACCTGCTTTTTGTAAAGTGTCTTGAGATAACACTTGTGATGAATTGGTGCTTGGTTACCCACGTTGTGTATAGAGGTGCACATCTGCTGCATAGGCTACGGTAATTTTGGCAGCTGTGAATCCTTGTGTCCTGTATGGCAATCCTGTATGGCATCAGGTCTTGCAATGTAATACCCCGTCTTTCAGGGCCTCGGCCAAATCAGTTGACAGTCTTACCTGGGTGAGGTAAGGCCCTGCTGGTAGCAGTGCCACAACATCAAATGCAAAGTCTCGGTCAAAGGACCTCAGGGACCCGCTGGTGTTATGTGGCCCCAGCAGCTCAGTGATTTAAGCGGGGGCTTGACCATACAAGGCTCTAAACACAATAACAAGAGCTTTAAACTGAGTTCTGAAACTGATGGGGAGCCAGTGTTAAGACATAAGGACAGGTGTGACATGAGACCCTCTAGATGATTTTGTCAACGGCAGCATTTTGGTCCACTTGTAAGCAGCTCACGGATGTGACACTGACATGCAAACAGAGAATTACAATAATCAAGCCTTGATCAAACAAAAGCATGTACAATCATCTCTAGCTCAGCTCTGGACACTTGAGAGTGTTGATTGTTGTGAAAATGGCTGCAGACTTTACCCACAGGTCTGTATATTTTTTGCGCCTCACAACAGCTGACATCCCCTCCAACCACAAACAATAAATATCTACACTCAATGGCATGTTCCATGTTGTCAACAAAAACTGTGAAGTGTCCCATTGATATAATACCTTAATTGTATAGTAGAAGGATATACATCCATTAGAATTTTTTTTTTTTGATGACTAGAAGTAAAAATGTTCTTGTAATTAATTTGTGCAGCCTGTAATCAGAACATCTACAATATTGGTGCTACCTTTAAGTTTGAATGTCTTAGCGAAAGAGAACTACAAATCTTGATTTATTATTCTATAGTTCACTGCTCACCATTATGTGGGTCATATTTTGACCTGAAAGCAGGCTGTATGATTGACAGTTACAGTCCTACCACTCACTGGCGACACAGCACCAACCAAAAATGGCAACAAACAGGGACCATATAGACCTTGGTGTAGGCCCACAGTAAATCATCATTAACAGTTCAGTATCTCCTCGTTGACTCGTCCTAAAGTGTGCACTCTGTCTGTCAGATTAATGGGCAGCAGCTTGACTCGGTGACGGATGGTCTCATGCGTATCACTCATACTATTCTGGTGCGGAGATTTAGTTGCATATGGTTGTAACCCAGAGTTCATAACCTTAACCCCTTTCACCTGTTCATTTCGCCCTGTCCTGTCAGGCAAGATCAGCCTGCTCCAAAAGTTTGAAAGCTCTTTTCAAGATCCACATTAATGGATGCCAATGGACTCAGTTTGTCACAAAATGTACTCGCTGTCTGCTACCATTCATCGCGTTGATCTTTATTCTACATGGCACTGGCCTTGGTTAACCCAACATGGGGATAGAAAAAAATAAATAAACTGCAAAATAAAATGCTGAGGGCACTTTGAAATTTAAAATGTCTCAGCTAGACAAAGCTTCATCATTCACAGCAAAGAAGTAAGAATGAATGAACAATTGCAGTTGTTAGTACTGATAGGACAGAAGACACTGTGCTTTTGTTGTCATGTTGTCATGTTCTCGCTCTTTAATTTGTCAGAACCCTCTAAAAGCTATTTTAAGAGGTCATCCTCCCAAATATTAGTGCTGCTTCATTATTTGACGCACAGCTTGCCCCTTAGTCTTTATTAGGGGTACATTGTCAGTCAAAATGTTTTGTTGCAAGGACAGGAGAAGAAACTTGTTCTCCCCCCAACCCCCCTTTTCACCCACAGTGCCTCTCCAAGTGTGCACAAGTGCTATTTTTAGCAGCAGTGAGGAAGTCTTTGAAGCATAGCTCTCACCAGTATGTGATGGTATGTGTTTTGGAAATGGGTCCATCTATACTTCACTTTAGCTTCTGACAAAAAGTACCACGACCGCATTAATACACTTCACACTGTGCTGATGTAAGCTGCAGACACAAAGAACTCTATTCATGACAATATAACGTCATTAAATTCAGATGTTGTTTGAGCAGCTTTATTTCATATCAATAATCAGAATTTCATCTTTTTCACAGGTATAGAAGAAAACAAAGGGATCCTTTCAACACACCCTGTGCTGATGTTTTGCACCCTTTCATGCCACGTCCCTGAGGGTCAAAACGCAGAATTTCTCAAAACACAATAACATTTCGGAAAACACACAGAAACACAGATCCAATCATGCCGATCCATAAACACGGATCCAGGATCACATCAGTTCAGCTCACTATTACTCTTATATTTCTTTCGGAAAAAATGGAAATCAAGTGAACAGATATTTGTTCTGTCTTGTTCAGTTGAAAAATATATTTTTTTGTCATTGAAGGTGAGATTATTTTGATCTTTAGAATGAACTAAACACAAATGAACTCAGAGAAAAATACCTTCTGAGAAGAGTCAAACGCATGAATGAGCCAAGTGAATAACTCGCATCTCTGTAATAGCTATAAAACACCTATTGATTTCAAAGTTATCAACAGAACACACCTAACCTATCTGGTTCATCAAATCGCACATTTGAAAGTATTGTAATTTGAGTCTTGTGTATGTCGAGGTGTCCACTCTTTGTAGAACATAATCAGATATTTATTTATTTTGATAATTGATTAAAGCAATTCTTTATTGAAAAACTCACCCGTATCTGGAAATATATAAGTCATTTTTTTCTACATGCTTCACATTTTCAACAAACAACAACATGGCAAAAAAAACAAAAACTGGACCACAGAAAATATATCCAACAAAAGGTTTCTCGCTTTAAATTTGACATCCTGGCGTACATCTCACAGTTCAAGTTTAAGTAAATTGCTTGTAAACAAAACAATTCTCAAGTTTTCCGCTTTCTTTCCAGTTACAAATATAAAAGTTCATTATATCAGCACACCTTTTGGCAGGTGTAAATCACCATATTTAAACATGCCGTCTAAAGTTGTGGTGTGCTACAAAAAATAACAATGTCCAAGCTGTTCTGTAAAAGCTTATTTTTAACAACCTCTCGTAAAAAAAAAAAAGTCCCGTTAGCTAAACGTTAGTCGAACAGTTTGACAAATAGTTCTTCATTTGAAGTCGTTCTTCGTTTTCAAATCTGTCCCTGTTCATTGCAAAATATCACCTAAATTAACCTCAAATGCAATCTGTTTTAGATCTATTCAACATTTTTTTCTTTTTCTTTCATTACCGCCGGCAAATTTCTTTATAGATACTCTTGTTGTTCCTTCCTTCCTTGATAAGGTCTTTAGATCTTCAGGTCATCCAGCCTGCTCTTGTTATTGCTGTGCTTGCTTGACTGACTGTTTCGACGCTGATTTTCAGCAGGCATCTCAAACACCAGGGGAGTTTTCCTCACATCATCTCCCTCTGCTTTACCTTTCCTCTCCACAGCCATGTTGTCTCTGTTCTGCTTGTAAACCACTTTGCTATTGTAGGGGCTGTAAGCAGAGTTCGGCTCGGCCATGCTGTACTTTGGGTCTGTAGGGAAAGGTTCAGGCACTGCAGGATGTCCAGCAAAGTAGTTATAGCTTGGAACGAAGGGCATGACTGTCTCAGTGAGGGCCTTTGGAGATTCAAGAGCAGCCTGGGACCGTCGGTAACGGAGGCCTTGATGGCACTTTGTGAAACCCAAATGGTACATTTCCACAAGGTTGAGCAGCAGGGAGATGCAGGCCACAGCAAGCATGAAGAGGATGAAGACCGTCTTCTCTGTAGGTCTGGAGATGTAGCAGTTCACCACATTAGGACAAGGCCAGCGATCACAGGTGTACATAGGCTTGAGCTCAAAACCGTATAGGAAGTACTGAGCTACGATAAATGCCACTTCAAACAGGGTCTTGAAAACAATGTTGAAGACGTAGGTTCGCAGGAGTGCGCCTTTCAAACGCACATGGCCCTGGTTGTCTTTGATTGGCGCTTTCTTGGCCTTGGGTCCAAGTAACTGCTGATGCTTTTCACTCTGCATGAGTGCCAGATCCTTCTCTTTCTGACCCTGCTTCTCCTCCATGCGGACCAGATGAAGGATGTGGCCCAAATAAATGAGGGTTGGTGTGGAGACAAAGATGATCTGCATCACCCAGAAGCGGATGTGAGAAATGGGAAAGGTCTTGTCGTAGCAGACGTTCTGACAGCCGGGCTGCTTGGTGTCACAAGTGAAACCCGACAACTCGTCGCCCCAAACCTTCTCAGCGGCCGTTCCCAGCACCAGGATGCGGAAGATAAACAGCACCGTGAGCCAGACTTTGCCCACAACAGTAGAGTGTTCCTGGGCGCTTTCCAGCAGCTTCCCCAACAAGTTCCAGTCCCCCATACTGGCTCACACGAATGTACCCTCTTTTTTTTTATCGAAAAAACCAGGACAGATGGCTGTAAGAAGAAGAAAAAGTGAAGTGTTAATGTAAGAGCTTCATAAGAGACAATTATATGTTCAGTTACATAACGTTGCATGGCAGAATGTAGTTATAAAACAAATTTGGTCTAGGATTTGGGGCTTTTTGTGCCTTTAATGGAGAAATAGGACAGTGGATAGAGTCGGAAATCAGGTAGAGAGAGTAGGGAATGACTTGCAGCAAAGGAGTCACAGACAGGACTCGAACCCAGGCCGCCCGCCCGGAGGACCACTGCCTCCACTGTGCCACCAGCGCCCCTGTACATGTACTTTTATTGCATCATTTCTAATGAATGTTGGCTTCAGTCTGCATGTTTCCGATCAACTACAATAAAACAAAATAAAAGAAATGAATGCATGAATTTATCCATTCAACATTACTGTTTAAAATGTTTTGGCCACTCTCGGAAACCTGTAAGCTAATGTTGACTATTTACTCATAGTCTGTATATTATTATCACTCCTCACCTTTCGTTTCGGTCTCATCCAACTACAAAGTGAAATACAGTTTCTTGATTCTTTTTGCACTGTCCGCTTACTAGTCGCTAATTTTGTTTGTTTGTTGTTTGGCCCAACATATCTAGCATAGCTGGTTTGCAATATTTTTTTCTTTTGTCTTTTATGAAAAGATTGCTCATAGAGCTGTGAGGAGGACACAAAAGGTGCAATAGTTAGCTGTACAACCTTAAAAAATGTAGAGGTAAGGGGACCTGCAGAAACAGGTAATGAGATTCTGCAGGTGCGTCAATAGAAAATATCACTTTGTCATCACATGTAGTCATTTAATGTATCACTGTGTCAACCTGATTCAGATTTTATTAAGGTATATTCTGGCATATAAAATTTAATATTTGATACTGATTGTAGAGGCAAGTATGATCGTTAACGTTGTTCTAATTCAATTAATGTTCTCGTCATTTCCACTGTGATCAATGAATAGATAAGGTCAAAACTTTCTCATGACATTCATTTTCTTTTGACACAGTTTCCAGAGACATACAAACCAAAGACTACTACTGTACACCAAAAAACCCCAGTGTAGAATCAGCCAAAGAGTCTCTGATTGATCATGAATTAACTGTTTGTTATCAGAAGGTTGTGTCCTACTCAGTGTCTGCTGGAAAAACGGGCCAGGACACTGCTGACTGTGTGTGAAAGAAAGCCCTGGAGCAGGCTGGGGAGACTTTCAGCGCCAGCATAGATCTTGTGACACAGTACCCACCAGAGCTGCCGGGGTCCAGAATTAGGTGTCTAGTTTAACTTTCAGGGCCTACTGCATACAACATAGCAAAAATGTTCTTTAAAAATAGTTGAACTTGTCCTTTAGAAATGATGGCTCAGGGAGTACAGACTGTGGATCTGAGCACCTGTTGGGAATACTTAAGAAATGCTTTTAAAGATAGGAAAACACTATTTGCACAGTAGTAGCTTTAGTATGAATACACAGAACACACCCTTATTTATTCTTAAATTACACATTCAAAAAAGATACTGTATGCCAAACTAACTTGAAATCTGCACTAGGTCTTTTCATCATAAGCCAGTATATTACATTAAGAGAGACCTACCTGATAATGTTCATCTCCTTCAGCAGTGCAGCTCCAGAGTCATTGACGTTTGCGCCTCTTCAGTTCACACAGGGGCCATGTTCTCTCAAACACTGAGGGAACTGCAGAGCCAAGAGAAAGCTTTTTCACTCTGTGATCCCGCCTGCTGCCCTCCCACTCTGACCTGATCAATGCCCAGTGTTCAACAACCCAACCGAAGCCTCACTTCTATCTGTTCTTAACACATTCCCACATGAAGAGAAGTATGAAGCTGCTCGCTAAAGAGGTGTTTCTGTTCAACGTGAGTGGCAGCTAAAGAGTCCAGTGAGGATGCAGGTTAGTCTTACATGTCAGTGTGCTCTAAATATAAATCACAGTGAAGGGAGTGGCCTTGTTGTCACTCTAAGGGGCGATCTGACCCTTGGGTGTGTGTGTAGAAACGTCAGACTCCGGAGAGTCTTAGTAAGTATGTTCGACGACCATCGATTAGTGGTGGGACTACATACGGAGAGAGATCTATAAACTTGATGCTGTTCTTCACACTGTGTTGTATGAAGGTCTTTATTCTTTGTGTGTATCTACTGAAGCGCATTTCTCTACTTTATATAGTCTTATTTTTCTAATCTTCTACTTTGCTTGATTGTTTTTAATTTCTGCTACTTTATTCCTTAATTTGAGCATTTTTTAGATGATAATAAAACATTTATTTGACAACTGTTGTTACAATTAACTTGTAATATTCCATCCAAAATATACAAGCGTAGACATTTTGTTGTGTTACACTTTCACTGACCATATATAAGAAGCGATGTAGACTTCAAGTGTGTCTTAAAGCCCCTTTGAGGAACTTTGGGTCTGATGATTTTTGGCGCCCCTTCAAAGTCATTTGTCCTATCAATTTGCTGATCTCGTCCTGTAGATGTGTTAGTAGTGTCAAACATATTCTCCAGTGAACTGTAAATCCTCCTGTCTGACACCTACCCCCTAGCTATGGTAAGAGGCAATTAAAACAACTCTATACAGATAGATAGTTTTATAGTTGATAGTCCTGTTTGCCTTTTTAGGTCATAAAAAAACATCACCATTATTTTCAGTCTGCTTCATAGCCAATTAAAAACTCCTCACAGGAGCTTTAAGGGAAGAGTTAAGGAATCTGCAAAATTATTTAATGTCATTACTGCAAAAACAGTCCTGCTGATTTAATATATTAATAATATTTTTGATTCATCTTTTCAATCGCTTGTCTTATGTCACCTTATATTAAGTACAATCGTCTTGTTGAGCCTTACAGCCCCGATATAACTGACAAAAGGGCGTGGCTGCCTAATGATTGAAAAGTCTTTTAACATTGACACCAGTCAAACAGAAAGGGGTTTAGCAATGTATATCCAGCCTGTGGTCCAAAAAAGGCACCTAAAGAAAAAGATGGCAAAATTCACAACTTAAGGCTTTATAGCGTTGGTCTCCATGTGAACTGGTATTTTCTGACACAATGTCCATGTATAGAAAAGGGAGTAATACATCAATATTTTCCAGTTGCTTACACTGCTTCATAGAGCTATATTAAATAATGGCACATACCATTGTACAGTATACAATATGGATTTTATTTTTTATATACCTCAGTTTTTTCTCGCCTTGCATATCATCAGACAAGATGAGCTCTAAATAGTTCAAAAGTTAAGCTGACTCTTCTTAAGAGGATTATTTTGACCCTTACAACAAACCATGTGTGTGTTAAACAAAAAACATCTTTTAGAACATATGGGCTCCAAAAACAACTGCAGGCGGGGAGGGGACATTGGTGCATTTATTATGCCAGTAAAACAGATCTTTCATGATTAATATATGCATCATGTGCAATAACTCACTTGAATGAGACATCATGCACTGATCTCTCTTGTCCCTTCATGTCCACTTGTCCTTCTTTAGTATGTTGTTTCTCTGTCCTCTGTTTAATACTGGTTGTCATACTTACTAATGACATGACCTCACCAATACTGATCACAGACAGGAATAACAGAGTGGATATATTTGTGTTGGTCCAGTGCTGTCAATAAGCTTCCTGTCAATCTGAGCTCTCTAGATGGTGTTTGTTGATGCCTTCCATAAAAAGATAAATACCCTTATGCTCGGTCACAGGTTCAGCTGTCTTTAGGGTCAACCATTGTCACCCACACACTGACCCTTTAGGTGGGGAGGCTATTGATAACCCACAACTCTGTTCTCTGGCCTTCAGAAGGAGAACTTAATCATGTTGAGACATTTCCTCACAGATGGCATCAAGGCTCCGAGATGCTGTCTGCTAAACGTGCTGACACTAAAAGTGTAAACTTCATTCACATTATTTTGTTTTTCTCCCAATCCCACTGCTGACAGCTGAGAAGAATCACACAGTGGCACCGTGTCATTTCTCACTGCAGAAAAGTGTTGCTGTCTGGTGATTTAAGGTATTACACTCAATACATGTTAGACAATTTAAAAAGTCACAGATATGTCACACGTTTCAGCTAGTAGTTTAAATCTTTTGTTTTTGTAAAGTTGATAAATTCTAGTAAAGGTTTCACAAAAGCACAGACTCTGGAGATTTTATTCTGCTGTGTACAATATATCCAGCAAAATCAAAATAATTTAAATAACATGTTAAGCCTCAGTAACAATTGAGGGGAAACAAGTTTGCAATTCAAGTTCTCTTGTGGATCAAAATAAATAAAGACTATTAAACAAACATTTTGTGATCTGACATTCATCAAATGTAACATCTCAGTTTAAAATTGAATAATAAGCTGAAGAAAATACGGAAAACCACAGTCTTTTAAGTTCAGCTCGGGCTGATTTTCAAGTTTGATGTGAATAATATAAGACCAAAAGTAAAAATGAGTCCATAACATTGAAGCCTAAAATACAGGTGTCATAAAAAGCCATTAATGCAATTAATACTTTTGTAAAAAGTTAGAGAAAGAGAGAAAGCTTGACTGAAATGTTTCTGTTTCAGCCTGCTGCTATACTCATAAGGTGCCCATTTAAATGTTAGAAGTAAAGACTTGTAATGTTATCATTGTTTGATATTTTCAGCTTATATCAGTCACAACAGTAGTCACTCAAAGACTCCATCTATACATACATGTTCATGTCACACCTGATGTCTACTCAAGATGTTTTCTATGATTATCAAGTTTTCTCAAGATCCTATAATAACTAACTAAATTATATTTAAAAAATGTTATAAATTAAAAAGTGTCACCATATTGTCTTACGAACTATGTTCTCAGTTGAAATAGTGTTTCATTAAATGTGTTCTGGTTTTCTAAAATCCATTTATTGCATCATGTCAGTAGAAAGCGCTGCTGTAGTTTTTTTGTGCAGTTGTAGTTT